CAAACCAGTGAGGGCCGAACTAGTACTCAGGTGGGTGACCACTGGGGAATCCTCGGTGTTGTATGTTTTTGCCCTTTTTCCTTTTTTGTGGCACCTCCTACCCGAGCTGCTGTGCGATGCTGTCACATCCGATTTTTAGTAGCCAGGTGACATAATCCAACGCAACATGTCGAGGCTTCATCTGATGCCGTTGCTTTGATCTGCCCGCTGAAGGGGGTGGCACCCTGTCCGGAGGCGCCGCCGCCGGGGTGTGCTTGGCTTTCGGCGGCTATGGCTGGCTGGGCTTTTACGTATTTTTTTTTCTTTTAGACTATAGCCTGCTGCTTTTACGTTTAGATTTCGATTTCTTTCTTTTTTCGGGTTTTGTATGTGTTGGATATTGTCCTGCTGGCTGGATGTTTTTATTATTATTTATTTTTTTAGTTTGGGTGAGCCGATTTATGTTGGGACTTGTCGATGCTTTGGTGCCATAATTAGGTGTAAATGGTCGTTGGTGGGCGCAGACACCACCAGCCAAGAACCTGGGCAACTAAATGCGCTTTGATTGGCTCTCCATCATAAGCCCACCGGTTACTCTAAACTTAACGTCCCGAGAGAAATGAGGCATTCCTAAAAAAAGAAAGATGAAAATGTGGCAACAGGTCCATACAGGAAAAAGGTTACTGTAAGAAAAGGTACATCACTCGGCGGCTGCTAAGACGGTAGGGACATTTATCAGACCGTACTGCCCGTTCGAGCTTGCGGGGTCCTTACTGGAGTAAAAAGGAAAGAAAAGAAAAGAAAGGAAAACAAGAAAGGGTGTCACAAGATTATCCATACATGCACTCTCGCTTTGTAGCTTTTCACATTTTGACCTTGGGCTTGCGGTACATCGGCAGCCCCTGCCTCGTCCTCTCCCTGTTGCGCGTGCGCGCCTCGAACGCATCAAACGGGCTCTGGGACTGGCTCTTGCTGCCCGTCTTGTAGTTGACCCAGTACTTTTGCGGCTCCAGCCCGCCGCTGCCGCTGCCACTGCCCTCGGGCGGCGGCGGCGCCGTCGTCTCCTCGAGTATCCACGGCGGCAGGACCCCGCGGGACGTGTAGTCCTCCTCCCACTCGCGCAGGAACTTGCTCTTGCCGCCCGTGCCCGACGGCTCGCCCCAGCGGCCCTTCCCGTGCGCCTTTTCGATTACGGTTTCGTACTCTGGGTGCTCCCATTGGGTCGTTTTGAGCTCGTGGTTCAGATAATAAGCGCGCCCTTTCTCGTCGCGCCGCCGCTCCCAGCGCTCGGGCACGGGGTAGTTATCGGCGCCGAGCTCTAGCGCAAAGGCTGGCAGGTCCGAGGCGGAAGCGTCCAGGACGCCGGCGGCCTGCAGGACCCGGAATTTGGCCGGGTGCAGGTGCGAAACGGTCCGGGTCGCGTGCTGGCAGTAGTAGGCCACGCCGTTCTCGGTAAAGTGCTCCGTGTAGCCGTCCGGCACGGCGAGGTCCCGGGTCGATGGCTTGATTTTTTCGAGCTCCTCTAGCGAGGGCTTGTTGGTGTTTTCCATGGTCGTCGCAGTATCCATTGTTGGGCTTGGTGAGAGTTGTGGTATTTTGTGAGAGATGTCTTGGGCTTGTCTGAGAAGTTGGAAGGAGGGCAACATCAAACGGCTGCTGTAAACGGGCCGGGGCGGTCGCCCTCCTATTTTAAGCTCCAGCTCACGCATGCACCGCCTCAGCTCGCCAACGTTGTTGTTGGGTGCCTCCCTCGATGGGGGCAGCACTCAACTAAGCAGGATTCGTATCCCCATACACGCGTTCGTAGGATGAAACAGGCTTGGCAGAGTTTCTCGGGCTGCCTAAAGGAATCCCTCCCGTCCTTTAATCCATCCTCCCCGCATTGCACGCCATGGATAGCCCAGGAGCCCTCCGTACCTTCCCCACGCTGCCTTCAGCTGGGTTCCTGGGCTACGCTACAGGGATCAGCGCCAATGGTTTAGTGCGGGGGAGACACTCGGCAGGCTACATGCACATCGGTTTCAAGCCAACTGTTTGCTACCACATACGACCATACCCACTTGAATATCCAGAATCCCGCTCACTCTCGCGCCCAACGGGCTGGATTCTCTATAGTGCATAATCTTTTCTACTATTTCTAATCATAAAAAAACGCTATACATGCTGTGACACTAGAGTTTATCCAACCTGTCGGAAGCCCGTCTTGCCACCCCCTACTTAATAAATGCCCCAAGCAACATCCACCGTAGTGCTGGCCGTCGTGCCAGAGCAAGGCATGACGCCCTTAGCACCGACCCTGCCGCCGCCGCCAAACTGCCTGATGGAGTCGTTGATCGCGTCAATGACGTCCTGGCCCCCGACCCGGAACTGGACGGCGCCGCCCGTGCCGCCCGTGCGCTCGATGCCGAAGCGGCACGACCCGTAGCTCGCAATCGTGCGTTGGCCCACGATGCCGTGCGTCCAGTCGGTGGTCGCGTCGCCCTCGATGTTCCTGATGAGCTGCTGGCAGTCCGACGCGGTGGGCGAGACGTCGCTGCCCTGGTTGTCAAACGTCGAGCCGCCGCAGCGGTCCCGGCCCGGCGGTATGTCGCACGGGTAAAAGGGCGAGCTCCTCATGCTGGACGTGTCCCAGGACTGGAACGCGCGGTCGGGGCTGCAGATGGGCAGCTGGACTACACCGGGAGTTTTGACGTCGAGGCCGGCTAGGCTTTTTCGGACCTCATTGTTGCTAGTAGCAAGCTGGGTGATGTTGGGCGCCTTGTTTTGCCTCCCGTTAAATACCCAAGTGGCGAGGGAGCCTTTGACGATATCTTCCTTGGTCACTTGTCCATAACTGTCTCCCGAAAGCGAATCCAGGCCGACGGGGGCGGAGAACGAGTTCGTTCTGCACTTTTCCTGGCAAGGAGTGTCCTTGGCCGGGCACGGGGTGCAGATCCTGGCGTCTCCTTTCGGGTAGACGAGGTAGTAGAGCCTGTCGTCGTGGCAGACGCGGGTCTCGCTGGCCGTTTGGTCGCTGACGTACTTGTGGGCCGGGTTGCCGTTGCAGTCTTCGCCCGAGTCGAGGATGAAGGCGTATGTCTTGGAGCGGCGCCAGAGGGCGGGGACGGCAAATCCGAAGAATGTTTTGCGGGCCGTTTGTGCGATGTCCGCTTCCGTCGGTGGTCTGGGCCGAGTTTCCGGGCTTACGTCCCATCTGCCGCCGATGAACTTGCCGTCCGCAACGAGACTCGTGAGCGCATTGAGGGTGGTGTTACCGCCGCCAAGGAGCTTGTCCAAGGCCAGGGATGCGCTGTTCTGCCAGCCTATGGCGATTCTGTATGCGTATTCGGAAAACTTCCTTTGCTGTGTCGCATCCCACCAAGGCCCCTTAGGAGATGCCAGCAGATCCTTTGCGAGCGTCGTAGCCTGGCCGATCAACATCAAAGCATTATCTTTGGTGTTGTCAAACGCGGCGCCACCTTTGACGAAAGCGGGAAGCGTCTTGACGAAGTTGTTGAAAAAAGGCGCCGCGCTTCCCAAAGCGCCAATCGTGATCAGGTCAGTCATGACGTTGGCCCATTGGTTGGTGTCGGGATCCGGAATGGGGGCGAAGGTGTTCTCCATCAGTCTAATGGTCGGACCGACGGTTGCCATCATATTTAAAAGACCATTGTAGTAGGCGTGGTATATGCCATGGATCTGTATAATCGACTGCCAGATTAACTGCGCCGCCGGCCCGGAATCTGGTCCGTTGGCGCCGTTTGGGCATTCAAAGGCAACGTGACATCGGTCGTTCTCACCTCCAAGGAGTTCACAGCCAGAATTGGCCCCTGCCTTGAGTGTCGCCTCGACCGACTCGAGAAAGGTTTTGTTCTGACCTTGGTGAAGCTCAAGCCAGTTCGTGACGATCCCTTTCCAGGCGCTCTTCGCATCCACCTGCTCCCAGCGATCGGATGGATAGTAATCATACGGGTACACAATCGCCTGGTGCGTGCATGTGAAGCTTCTCCACTTGCCTTCTCTCAACGTGCTCTGTTTGGGATCGCCGCCGGTGGCCGCCAGTGAGATGAAGGAGGCCCAGTCCCTGGCAGGCTTGGGAGGATCGTTAAACTGCTGCAGATCGCTAGCCCAGTCGGTGGTGCCGGCCATGCCGAGGTTCGCGTACAGGCGGGAGCGCACGGCCTTTGTGTTCTCGCTCATGTAGCCAACCCATTGATTGTTGTCGTAGACGAGAATGTCGCTGTTGCTTGACGGGTCGATGAAGTGTGTGGCGACGCGGCCGCCGGAGCGCTTGTCGAGCGACGAGCCGCTGCGGATGATCTCGTTGATCTCGGCATCGGCAATGTAGCCGGCTTGGCCAGTGCACCTCCCGGGTGTCGCGTCAGAGTTCTCGCGATCGCCGGTGAACTTGCAGCTCGGGCCCCAGCAACCCGGCTCGGCCATCTGGAAAGAGCGGCCGTAGCTGGTGACGCCAACGACGACCTTGTTGCCCGGGACCCCCGCCTTGGTGATCATGGCGAGCACCTGCCTGGTTTCGGTGAGGTTGACCTGGCTGCGCAAGCAGTTGCCCGTGTCGCAGCTTTCCTGTGAATATTTGTTGTGGGCGTCCCACTGGCCGTGAAGGTCGTACGTCATGTAGACGATGTAGTCGACAATCCTGCTGATCTCCTTGATCGGGAACTGCTTCAGGTACCAGTAAGAAGCAGGAGCGGCGATGGCAACCGTCCTGCCGGGGAGAAAGTTCTTGAGCACAGCGAGGAAGGCCAGGTAGTTGGGCCCGTCTTCGGCCTTGCCGGGGTCATTGATGTTCGGCGGCAGGTCCGGCGCGCCAGGATACTCCCAGTCGATATCGACACCATCAAGATCGTGCTGGATGATAAAGTTGGCAATATTCCTAGCCATCGTTAACCGGTTGATCGATTTGACACCATCGCGGAAAATTCTATAGGTGTCGACGTCATTCGAAAAAGCCCAGCCGCCAAAGGATAAAATCCGTTTGGCGTTGCGAATACGTTTAAACTCGCCAAACTGGTACGAAGAAAGCGCGTCGCTCACCTGGACTTCGAATGCCTTCGTCAGGGTGCCGAACCCAAAGTGCAGGTGGGTGAACTTGGAGGTGTCGATCTGGAGCGCGTCCTGGTACAGACACTGGCGGCCCATGCCGTACCCTTGGAAGTAGGCGAGCTTGATGCCTCCATTGCCAGTGCCCTTAATCACGTCGACTCCGCAGTTTGAAATGCAGCCATAGGTGCCGGGCTTGGCGGTGCCCGGCGGGCCGGTGTTGGTGTCGACGCAAAAGTCCGCGGTGATACCGCACTGGCCCCAGATATTGCAGCAGGAGTTCAGGGGGCACGGGTTGAGATCGGCGATCTTGGAACCATCCGTTGGTGGTTTGGACCCGGACACCTGGGGGCCACAGTTGGCATCGCTGATGGGTGAAGGAAAGGGCGGAGTGCCCTTGCTTAGGCACATGGTGGTTTTGGAGAAGAGCAGCTTGCATCCGGACCAGCCCCAGGTGTTTTTGTTGAACTCCTCGATCTCGTCCATGGTCAGCCCGAACTGGGCTCCGAGATTGGAGCAGTTGTCATTGTCCTCAATCGTGTACGAGAAGCACTGCCCGTTCGCCAAGGGCTTGGGACGCATGTCGGGTAGAGTACCGCTAGAGCAGCACACGTACTGCTTCGGCTTGAGTGAAGCGCATATGTCAGGGTTGTACCTGGTAAAGTCGGCGCCCGAGATGCCACACCTCACGGCCAGGTCTGCGCAACCGTTTCCTCCGTCGACCTGGATGACCCTGCAGTCGGCACGCTTTCCAGCGAATTCTTGGCGCAGACACCAGCTTCTTGAAGTGGGCTATGAGGGCCTCGCAGCAGGGAATCGGCGCGAGCGCGGAGGGTTGAGTTGGCTCGTGTCGAGCCGGGCGAGGTGCCATGACCAAAAGACAGTGAGGTGTTGTTGATGAGGGGCAGGGTGAATGTGGCGTTGCTTGTGACCATGACGCCAAAGGTCTGTGTGCTGTCGTAACCGGGGCCGCAGAGCTGCATGGCGAGGCTCGGTGCCGTGACGTTGAGGATGTCGAAGTTGTTCTGGAAGGTCTCAAGGGCCGAGTCGCTGATGCCTTGGTTCAGCAGACCTTGGCCAATGTAGACGCCGATAGTGGCTTGTCCGGAACGACCGTACATAATGAAGGGCCGATCCGCAACAGCTCCGTGACCATGATCGATGTACTCTCGCATCTGCTGCACAAGCGAGCGGATGGCAGGTGTGGCGAGACCGAAGTCCTCAGACCACCAGCCAAGCTCGAAGTTTACAGCCACAGGTTCAGCCAAGATGGCACGCTTGGAACCTAAAGGCCCGGATTCCATATTGGCAAAGTCCGTCCCGAAGGAGGAGCAGGCGGCGATACGATGAGTAGTGTCCGGATCATCGACAGGATCGTAAAGAGAGAAGCCATAGAACATAGTCTCCGGGCACCTCTTGATGAGTTTAAAGTTGGGGTAGACAGACCAGAGCCCCATGTTTGGGCCAGTGTCGAGGCAGCGCGCGGGACAGGGTCTGAAGCCCAAACTGTTCCTGGGAGGACGCCGACGGCAGTAAGCGCCGTCGTGAGCCATGGAGACGCCATCATGGTACTGGTTCCTAGACGGGAATACCAGAGTGAGTAGTTGGTTGAGTCGCAGCTTATAAAGAGAAGAAATAACCATACCTTATGTGGTAGTAAGTTGGTGAGTCCCTGACTGAACCATGATACTATGTGATCCCTAGCAACTTTTCGGGAGGGGAGGGCGATGGCATGCGAGTTAAGTAGAGGCCTCGGCGACGCCCGTGATGTTTTCTAGTCGTTAAAGACAAAGGACTGGCGGTCAAGGTGTATGTATGATGCCAAGAGCTTGTGGACCCATCGCGTCAATAAGTCACTGCGGTGTAGTGGAGGATGGAAAGCACAAGGCAGAAGAGTCTGGCCAGAACGAGACAGGAGTCGAGTTGCATACTTACCGAGGGGTGGATCATCGTTCTTCGGCCCGTCTTGTTTTAGTAAATCTGAGCGGGCTGGCATTTTGCCAAGATGGGATATTTGTTAGAGCGAGGAGATGGGGTCCAGACGAAATTGCCTCGAAAAACAATTGCTGGAAAACGTCCACGGGATTTGATACGGCTGCCCGATGATGCGGGACCATGCGTGCCCTGGAAAACGGATGCTTGCTTATGCTAGTGGAGGTGATCCGCATGTGAAGCAATTGTTGGAAAGGAGCCAAAGCTGCCCTCGGCAAAAGGCGCATGCTGCGGAGATACATTGGCTGACTAGGTAGGTTTGATACGAGAAGGACAGAATTAAAACCCCTGAAAACACACAACCAACAACCAAGCTGAAATGGAGAAGGTAAATTAGTCCACCGTAGCGGATGGGAGGGGAGGAGGGGGGGTGGGGGGTGGGTGGCGCAGGAAAGCCCCAGTGAAGGAGACGGAGGCGAGCAGGATGGGGAGGGCGGGTAAAGCCCGGAGCGAGTGGTGGGAAAAGGAGAATGCCCCGGGGTCGGTCGATGTGACCCCGAGACGGCTACCAGCCTTCCCGGATCAGGCTAGGAGAAAGCCGAGGGCGCCGATGGCAGCTGCCAGAGTCGTGGTGCCTGCAGCAGCAAACTGCGGAAAGGCGTGGCCCTTCTTAGGGCAGTTTGCAGGCTTGTCCAACGGCCGGTTGCACCTGGTCTCGAAGTCTACAGCCGCCATGCTCTCGGCCGCGGCCTTGTTGATCTTGATACTGCACGGGTTCGCGGTTGGGGTTGGGGAAGGAGAAGCGTCCACCACTGCGCACGTGCGCGCCTCATCCGCGGAATATGGCCAGCCCGTGTTGTCGAAGAGGACCTTTTCGGTCTTTCCCGTCAAGCTGATGGCGAATCCCGCGTCGGGGCATCCCTTGTCGCTTGCGGTCGCGGCGACAAGATCGACCTGTTGCCCACCTCTCTTGACCTCGAACCGGGTCACAGAGCCGTCGTTGCCGGCGGCGAAGTCGGTCCTGGGGTTTGGGCTCCCCGAGATGTTCTTGTGTTCGCACTTCAACCAGTTTGCGTTCCAGGACAGTCCAATAGGCCCTTCGACACCGAGGTTGACATGGGTCCAGTAAAGATAGAGCCCGTTTTGGCCGTCGGAGAGGTTTAAAGTGCGCTCGAACTTGTTAAAGGCGAGGAATTCGGGTTGGTAGGAGGTGGACCTATTCATAAGCCGGTAACTGAGGCGAAGCGAAGATGTTTGGCCAGGTCGGGATTTTGGAATGCCCAGACAACGGGGAAGTCTTCTGTAGGCTCATATGTCTCGTTGGCGCGGGGGAAAATGAGGCCAGCGTCCAGGACGCCGTCGGCGGCGTTTGCCATGGCACCCAGATAAGCTGTCGCGACCACGAGGGACCAGACAGCGGAGGCGGGAGAGTACATGATGCTGCAAGTGCTGTTGTCGCTATGGCTGCTGGCGCTATGGCTGCTGGCGCTGTGGTTGCTAGCGCTAGTGTTGGTGGTGGCCTAGGGTTGATCTTGCGCAAGCAAGGAAAGGGGGTAGGTGAGTGCAAGCAAATCGCTGCAAGCAAATCGGGGTTTTGCAAAACCTCGCGAAATCGGGAAGGCTCGTGGCAAAAATTAACCGAGCACGTTGGCAGGATCGATCCGCTGCGGTGCTAGCCCTATCTGAAGGCACCGGTACCCGAAAGCACAGCTTGGCATCATGCTTGTACCCCTAAACACCCACGGGCCGCCCCGCTCACCCGTCGTGATGCCAACAACCAACAACCAACAACCTCCTCCATGCGCAAGCCTTACCTTCAGCCTTTTAAGCCATTAACCCTGCTCCGCAAATCAGAACCGCCCGAAGCCCAGCTGGGGGGCACTCGCAACGGCCCGACTCCGACTCGCGAAATGACGGTTCCATAGAACATATCCACTGACGGCTGCCCAAATTGTCCAAACGTGGCTGTTGGCTCTGAGGGCAGCATGAAGAAAATCCGTTCAACCCCATACAATGCAACATCGGAAATGACACTTGCGGAAACTAGACAAATATCCAGAACCAATGCCATGGTGCTCCACGGCCGAGCCCGCAGTTCGGCAACCAACAGACCGCTCCACGGTCTCGCATGGGAGGCAGAGCTATGGGATCCTTTGCTCGTCGGACAAATCCTCCGTCTGGTTGCGATCGAGCACGCTTGGAGGTGTTAGCTGAGCCTGGAGTTAGCTTTCTTCCGTTGCACGAATGTCCTGCCACTCGAAATCAGTATAAGATTCTCGCAGTGCGTCGAAAAATGCAAGAAATCTCCTCTTCCCGCAGGACACTCACCTTCATTCAAGTCCCCCCTCACACAGCCTCCGGTTCCTGATCTATTCATTCGTTTCATATCAGACAGCTGAACCCCCGGCCAAATGCACTCTTCAGGCCTTCCCCTCCTTGCCTGCGTGCTCGTCTCAGGCGCAGGCCTGGTCTCGGGTGTACCCTTTACACGACGGAGCGTCCAGTGTTACTTCGAGCTTCCCGCCGACAGTGGGGCTACCTGCACCAGCATGGCATCTAGCTGGGGCATCTCCGCGGACGGGTTCGCCAAAATCAACCCTGGTACGACTTGTTCCAGTCTCGAGGCTGGCAAAACGTACTGCGTCATCGGCGAGTGGACTCCTGACACTACCGCGCCCCCGGCCACCACCCCGTCGACTACCAAGATGTCGACCGCCGCCCCGTCGACTACCACGACGTCCACCACCACCCAGCCAACCACTAAGACGACCTCTCCAGCCACTGCGAGCAACTCCCCCCAAATGCCCGGCGTCGCCACCAACTGCAACCGCTTTTACAAAATCCAGTCCAATGACCATTGCGATTCTGTGGCCCAGAAAAATGGCATCAGCACGGCCCAGCTGAGGAGCTGGAACACCGCCTCGTGCTCCAACCTTTGGCTCAACTACTATATCTGCACTGGCGCCCCTGGAGCCGCCGCCCCGCAGCCCACCACCGCTCCCTCTGCTCCTGATTCCAGCAACTCTCCCCAGCAGCCCGGGGCCGTTTCAAACTGCGGCAAGTGGTCCAAGGTGGTCTCCGGTGACACCTGCGACGTTATTGCCGCCAGGAACACTGTCACCGTTGCCCAGCTCCGCAGCTGGAACACGCAGATCAACCCTAGTACGCTTTACCTTTTCCAACTCTTGACATCAGTTCCCTACTCCTTGTTCCTAACTATTGCTTCTTTCGAAACAAAACAGACTGCAGTAACCTTATGCTTGACTACTTCGCCTGCGTCGGCGTCCCTGGTGCCGCCACGCCCATGCCCGGCATCGTGTCCAACTGCAGGCGCTACAGCCAGGTCGTCTCGGGCGACAACTGCGACGCCCTCGCTAGGAACAACGGCATCTCAGTCTCCGACTTTAAGCGCTGGAACACCTTTCTCAACTCTGAGTGCACTAATCTCTGGGCCGACGCTCTCGTGTGCACCAGTGCTTATGTAAGTAACAGCAATTCTGGGGGAGAGCTGAAGGCTGCTACTGGGTTTATGGAGGGACTTTTTTATCCACCCGTATTAAGTAGGTATGTATCCCTCGCTTTATCCGACGCAAAGAAATGCTTGTTAGGTGTAGTTTTATAATATTTAATGTCGTAAAAACTGGAAATAAAAAACACTTGTAACGTGGGACTTTGGGAAGCTTGTAAATTCATAAAAACTGTGAATAGCTTGTTTTCTTATTCTATTGTTTTCATGTAACGCCGTTGCAGTTCTTTCACCCGATAAATGCACAAAACCACTTCATTTTAATACCCCGGCCGCGTACCAGCTGCGTGTCAAATATTGTTATAAATGCCAAGGGAATCTTTATTCCAAAGACGATGAGCGCAATTAGCAGAATGGGGATATAAGGAAAAGAATGTAGGGGGAAAAGCGAAATATCTACTGTCTTAAACCATTTTCTTTGGCCGAAGTAGCAAGGCCACCACCGCTAGTATCAAGGAGGCTCAACGCAAGGTACCGGGTAAGTGCATATGTACTAGGTAAGCATGTAGTGAATGTTTTCCCCGAGGGCAAAAAGGACTACCACTACCAACCCACATCAAGCCAATATCAAAAACCACGGCGCGTCAAAAGGAAAAAAAAGGAATCATGGAAACAACAAAGCCCAGCCCCATCCTCTACGCATTCGCAGGTCTCCCACTCGAGCTACGAGAACAGATCTGGCGCCAAGCGCTGCCCGCGAGGCCAAACCCGGTGCTGCCCGCTTACATCGAGGGGTCCGGGGTTATCGGCGCCGACACGCCCCGCGTTGAGTGCTTCAACGAGTTCAACCCGAAGTTCGACACCACCCCCAGATTCACGACTTCCCGTATCGTCCGGGCCGTGCCCGTCCCGACGCCGCTCCTCGACGTCAGCCGCGAGGCCCGCCGCGCCGCCGTCGCCTAGGCCCCGGGACAAGGGGTACAGCATTGAGCGCCGACAAGGAGGCGGCCCCCCGGCGACGGCGGCGACGAGCCATAGCGGTGGTGGCGATGGTGGCGACGACAACAATAATAACAACAACAACAACAACAACAACAACAACAACAACAACAACAACAGCCGCCACCCCGAAGCGCCGGGGTCGCTGACCATCATGCGCCGTATCGACCGGGAGATCGGCGCCGTTTACATCGCGACCGAGGAGGCAATCGACAGCTACTCCAGCGAGCGCTGGGAGATCAGGCCCCGAGTGAACGGGGGCGGGGACTTCGGCTCGCCCCTCACCGCCGTCGCCCTGCCCCGGGCGCTCCTCGAGGCCAAGGACATGGACTTATGTTATTCCCTACTCTTCCTGTCCCAGGCCCGATGGGGGCCGTTTCCATGCCGTCCTGGCCCGCAGCCCGACGATTTGGGGGGCCGCTAGGGTGTGGTGGGAGCTGTGTAATGACACGGTCGACGGTCCGGTCTCGTTCGTCTGGAACGATACTAGCAATACGTTCGTCCAGCACCCTGATTGTGGAGGCGGGGACGGAATAGGGGCTGGTGAGGGGCTGCGCAAGATGGTGGACAACGTAGCCCTGCAGCTGGCCGCACTGAAGGACCAGGGGCAGGATCACATCCTTCAGGGCTTCGAACTTCGCCTGGCTTATACTGCAAGACACGGATGAGGAGTGTTTGGGATTAGATGACATGGGCATCTCTACTTTTTCCTGGGTATTTGTTTGGTCACGGGCCTGGCGTCGGTGATTGTTCGGCATCTGGCCCAACTGTTGTTGCGAACCGCTGCATCATTCTGGGAACAGAACTACTTCCTCGAAAGAGCCGTTCAAAGTAAAAGGGGAGGAGAGGTGTCCGTTTTTGGAGAATGTAGATGCAGACCGCTCTCAGCTGTGTAGCCCGGCCGACACCACTTTGTCTCAGCTTGACAGCAGCAGCAAGTGATACGTCGCGGCTGTTCCTTGCTAGCCGAATAAAAGAAAACGAAGGTTGAGGCTGTATCGAGTAACGAGTGACGATGATAGGAGTGGAAAGGTTTTGAACGTGTGGGTAGGTATAGAGGAGTGACGGGGATGGCGAAGATAGAGAAAGCGGAAGCGGAAGCGGATAGGGATAGGAAAACAGGTAGCAGGCAGAAAATGAGGCAGACGCAGCAGATTACGATTTTTATCAATGTTCTCGGTAAATGAATGAGAAAATCGGAAATTTGTATCGACGTAGGTCGCACCATGGTCCGAAGACTCAACTGCGAGCGCCGAGGTTTTGGAAGGACCTGCCGCTTGGCCGCCCAGGTTTGCCGTGACCCCTCATCTATGTAGGACAAAACCTGTTCCTAGATTTTGTCGCTTCGCCCTCCATCCTAGGGGCATGCGCAACCAGCAGCCGGCCGCAAACGCATTGCGCAGGCATGTCTGCATTCACCGCCGCAAGGAGAGCCAATGACCGACACTATTGGTGCCGTAGCCGAGTGTTACGCTGCGACGACACCCACCATCAATAGGCAAGCCCATGAGCATAAAGGACTGTTGGTTTTGCGATGCCAAGTGAGTGCTACGAGTTCTACTCGACCCGCTTCGACTCCCACGTCCGCGAAATACGTCCCGTTTACGATACGTGCGTATGCTAGCAAGCCTCGAGCTATCGTACAACGACAAAGAGAAGGACATCTCGGTTTTTTTCCAGCTGGACCGAACCCGGGAGAAGGTGGACCACCGCCATGACTGGCTGCGCGAAAAGGGCTACGGGAACTATTGGCGTATCGGCCGCTACATCATGTGCAGCTACCATCACCGCGGCGGTAAGGCTGGGCTGGACACCCTTTACAGTTGATACCCACCACTCCCCCCC